ATAGCCAGCAGTTAAAGGAACGGCGTTATGCACGCGAACGTTCTACAAATAATCGGACGAATTAATTCAACCGGCAGAAACGAAAGTTCGCACGGTTAACGTGACGATAGGCCATGTTTCTTCCCCATTCAACAGTTCCACTTCCCGTTAACGCCGACACTTTTCTTTTATACAGGGCGATCCGTGCATAATCTGAGGGACGAGTAAAAGCCTGTCCCTCAGATTTATCGAACGAATTCGATGGTATTGTCGTTATCGAGAGAGAGAGAGAGAGTAGAGAGAGAGAGAGAGAGAGAGAGAGAGAGAGAGAGAGAGAGAGAGAGAGAGAGAGAGAGAGAGAGAGAGAGATCGTTTATTATACAACTCGAGCTGTCTGGACAGGAGACGTCGTGTCGCGTGTGCGAACGACGCACGGATATTGTCTGCTGGCAGGTAGAGCCGGTATGCGTTTATTCATCGGTATTTGAGGACACGCCTTTGCACTCTTTGCACCAGTTTTTTCTCAATGCCTGTCACAACGCCACGAATCTTTCGAATTCCATATGGACGTAAGGGAGTTTCTCGAGTAGGACGTTTTCCAGGGAAGAAAAAATAATATTTCGACGATTAATCGATCGATTTCAACAATTTTCGAAATATCAATTTAATTGCCAGATTACTCTCTTGTCCTTTTTTCAAAGGGGGATGAAAAGTTGGCCTCGCCTGTATAATAGAACTCGTTACACAAATTTTTAGTAGAGAGGCCAATGACGAAAACCTTGAACCGTGCGGAAAAAAGTGGAAAGTTATTTCAAATTTGATAATCAATAGTCCCTTAGTTCATTCTCGAGCAAAGTTCATTTTCGACCGTGTATATATTTTCCGCAATTATTATTTTCCATCAACGAAAAGGAAAAGGATGAATCTAGGTGAGATTCTAGTTGCACGAAATAACGATCCTCGTATATTCCGAGGCGGAGTGGAGAGGAAGCTTGAGATATATTTCACGTTGGAGGAATTGAAAAATTCCCTTCTCCAGGATACAGTATTCCAACATTTAGGCTCGTTTCACGCTCGTTTTCGCGAAAATCGCTTCGAAAGATATAAAATTCTAATAATTAAAGGTATTGTTCACTGGTTGACAATGCTGACACTATAGCATATTGCACAGAGATGTGTATGATAGAAGAAGTGTTGTATAGTTTGAATATTCAAAATCGTAAAAATTATTTTCGTGAAGTTACGTTAGATAATAAACCAAAAAAGCTAAAATATTTTCAAATATAAAATTATATTTATAAATAAAACTATCGTTACGAATCATAATTATTATGAGAAATAAAAAAAATTTCGTTAGAATTCTCTGGATTCTATGCCTACGCTACGCATCGAAGTTTAGATACAGATCGTCGTTCTGGATTGGTATGTGTGACGAACACCACGGTAGAAATAAAAATGCGTGTGAAAATAGGCGGTTCTTTCTTCACGTTGACCAATCAAATACGCGAGACTTCTTTCCACCAATGAACAATATTATTTACTGTTGAAAAAAGTCTCGCAGAACAACATAGAAACAAGAAGAGTCCTTCAAACGTTTTGTTGACATTACACGGTAGAAGAGCTATAATTCTATTAATCTTTAAAATTATAAAAATTATTTTCATTTATGAAATTAGGATAATCATCCAAGATTGAAATATTTTCGAAACTGTCTATAGTGCGTCTTATTCGTATACTCGAATACGAAATTATATTTATAAAATAATTCGTAATTAGCTCATTGATGAGAAATAAAAAAATTTATATTATTTATATTATTATTACCGGTACGTTAGAATTCTCTGGATTCTATGCTTATACGTTATTCGTCGTTTGAATTTGTGAAAATAAGCATTTCTATCCAAATTAATCAGATTCGCATTCCTTCGTGTCTTCTTCCGTGTCTCGCGATTCGCGACTCTTCGATTCTTCTCTTCTGTATATATTTCCAGCTAATATTCAAATGTATTTGACCCTCGATCGTTGAAAAAAGGTTCTTCTTTCCATTCAACGTGGAATGTTTCTACATCCGCGGAGTATTCGTCTCCCTCGATTCTATACAACCCATAAAGCCTTCGTTCAATATTGAATACGTATATATATATATCCTTTATTCAGCTTTTCACGTTCTTCGTACCATTTATATCTTCTTCTACGTTTTTATCGCTCGGCTAATTGTTAGTGCAGCGATGAATGAATAACTGATTCAATTTTTATAAATTCGATTCACGTTCAAATATTTACCAAATAACTAAATTTTTCGAAATTGGTATACTAACGATTTCAATCGAATTATCAAGAATTTGATCAAATCGAATGAGAACGTTTCGAACCGATTGTATATCTCGTTTCGTCGAAATCCCGTTTTCCTGGAACCTCCTCGACTCCTCGGTTGGAGTCGAATTCACACCAACTTCGATTACCGTTTACCCATGACTCACCTGCGGTCGCCGGCTCGAGACAGAACAAGAGGATGAGATGGCGGGAGGGGGAGGAGGAAGGAAGCGAGGAAGAGGCGGATAACGAATCAGCCGCGCAACACGTAAGAAATATCGCGTTACCGTCGAACGGTAAGATTTCGGTATCGCGGTTAATGGGGGATCGGTTCATCGTCTCGTTATCGACCGACATCGATACTCTTCTGTTCATCAGCGCGATTTCGCAGTAACATCGATCCACCCTATCGATCCTGACCACCCTCAATGCACAGGGGGCGAGGCCTAAAGTTACAAGTGCAAACGGATGGTTCCTCTTGTCGGAGGCTTCGTTTTTTGAAGAGAAAAGTTTAAACGAATTTCTAATTAATACGAACGAATTATCGATAGGAGATTATTATGCGAGTTAACTTTTCATAATTCCATTATTTTTTTGTTTATCCTTTTGCAAGTTTTCAGTCGTACCATTTCACGAAGAGGGAGGAGATATCGCGTAGGCAGGATTTGCCCGAGTACGTATTTTTATTCTCACGGTGATCACGTAACGAAAAAGTTCCGATTTCGTGGCAGTAGCAATTATCGCCGAACGAGCCGCCGCAGTGATTCGAATAATAGGAGTTAACTGTACAAAATTATTACATTGCTTTTTATTATGATTTGTTAAAAATGTATATATAACATAAAAGTTTCTACTTTATTCGACTTTTATCGCATGGAACATATCGATAAATCGCGTGAATTTCTAATACGAATTAATTACTTAACTTTAAATTTAATTTGAAAAAAAACAAAAACAAAAAACTTATCGATAATTTATTTAAATTAAAATGAAATTTAAACGCTTCTTAAAAAATTTACAAAATATTTTTCTACTATTGAATTAATTCTCTGCCGTAATTTGTTTAATCTGTAAACTGTATTTAAAAATAGAATTAAAAATTTTAACGCATAAGAATTTTAATGTTATTACACATGGCAAATAATTATTTCCACGCGCACGTGGACGAAACGTTGTTCTCGCGCCCGTTTAATCCATTTTTCTTCGCGGATAGATTTATAAAGATCTATCTATTTGCCGAGCAACCGACGATTCTTCTCCCACGCGTCGTTCTCCGTGCCAGAGATGTCGTTCTGCGACCACGCGGCCCATTATCTTGCGTTATTACCTCGGTATGCGTGCTTATCAAGAGATAATCCTCCAATCTTCTAATCTCGTTCGTTTGAATCGCGGCGCATAAGCGGAGCGCACGATTACCATTTATATTCCGGGTCAAGGGTGACGAGCACAGCCGCCTCCTTTCTTCCTCCACCGCGAAATATATCCAACGCGGTAGAGACGAGTCGAAAGTTCGACGATTTCAAAGATAAAAAAAACTCCACCGCTTTCGCGATTGAATGAACGCGTTGCGTGCAAATTGCGTACACAAACATGAAAGATGGAATCGGAAGATAGGAAACAGATGCACGAGAGAAAAGAAAACGAAAGTTTATTTTCCTCGAATTACAAATTATAATTGACGTAAAACTATAACAAAAAAATATATATATATATATATATTTCGAATTAATTCTCTTTCTTCGGATCCCCATTTTTCTATTCCAATTATTTTGATTGAAAGCAACCGCGTTCAGGTTTGAAAAATTGTCGCCGAATTTTTACAAACTCGCGGAGATTTCCCGAAATTTCGCCCGTTGGGGGACGAGAAAGGAATTATCGGGCTGGCAATTTCCACGCGGCTGTTGTGTGTGTGTGTTTATCTCGAAGCGCGAAGCGTCAAGCGAGTTGCGCAAGAAAACGTTTGCATACACGATCGTCATTAAGGTTATCGTTCGTATCTGCCGGCACGCCTCCCCCCTCCACTCTCGTCTCCCCTCTCCACGCTCGCCTCCCCCGCAACACTCCCGTTCTAATTACTTTTTAACGCCGGTTATAAAAGGAAGTAAGCGGTTCTCGAGCTTCTCGAACCGGCATAATCGTAAAACCATCCGGCAAACTCGGCCTCGTAATTAAGACGCCGCCACGCGTGGGCGTGCAAACCTTCCTCGTCCCTCCCTCTTTCTCTCATTCCCGCGCTTTCTTTCCCCATTTCTTCGTACAATAAAATTGTTACAATCTCGTTTTCCTTTTCTTTACAACTCGCGCGTCTTTTTCAAGGATTTAAATCCGTTGCATTTCGAAACTTGCTGCTTCTCTAATGTAGATCCTCTATTGATTAACAACGGCGGAAATCGATCGAGATTAACCAACTAATCCATTGTGATCGTTAGTACGACTATGATTTTGAAACAAAAATTCAAAAATTCGTTTATAATTACTTTTTTAATCACCGTTCCTTCACGGTTGACCGTTTTTCGCGTTCTTCGTTTCCTTCTTCGAATAATTCCATTCGCATCGTTCGTGATCCACCAACGGTTTTCAAAGTTTTATCTCGGCAAAGGTGAAGGTAAGATCGGCACGAGGGTAAAGTAAACGCGATGGAGCTCGTCCGAGTCGCGGGGAGGACGATTGGTGGAGAGGATAAAGACGTAGCGACGATCACGTTTCAGGTGAGGAAGGTGTGCGGCCGCTCGGAGCTGGAGCCATCGTCGTCGAGCGAGAGGAGCGTCGCGGATGCGGCTGGAACGGGGAGGTCGTCGTCGCCGTCGTCAGGCGGGATCGAGATGCACGCAGCTGGTGCTGCGCCCAGCCGGACCTTGCCGTCCCAGTTGCACGTGCAGCTCGGCAATTTCCTGGCCAGCGTGGTCAGGTCTCGCACCTTCTACGGCACCCTGGCCGACACGATCTGCGAGGAGTATCCGGACAAACGGTGCTGGAACGGCGAACGAGTCGGGGAGTGAGTAGCTCTCTTTTCTCTTTTTTTCTTCTCCTTCCTCCTCTCCCCTCGCTTTTCAACTTTCCTCGAACTTCGATGGAGGAGCGCTCGTGCGGATTTTAGAATTTTAGCAAGTCGCCCGACATTTTTCTACGCCAAAAATGTTCCCGCATCTACCTAACCTAACCTAACCTAACTTAATTTAACCTACTATCTAACCTAACCTAACCTAATCTAACCCAATCTAACCTAATTTACCTAACCTACCTAACTTAACCTAATCTACTTAACTAACCTAACCTAATTTAACCTACCTACTATCTAACCTAACCTAACCTACCTAACTTAATCTAATTTAATTAACCTAATCTAATCTAACCTATTAACCTAACCTAACCTAATTTAACCTATCTAACCTAACCTAACCTAATCTAACCCAATCTAACCTAACCTAATTTACCTAACCTACCTAGTTAACCTAATTACTCAACTTAATTAACCTAACCTAACCTAACCTATCTAACTTAACCTAATCTACTTAACCTAACCTAACCTAATTAACCTACCTATCTAACCTAACCTAACCTACCTAACTTAATCTAATTTAATTAACCTAATCTAATCTAACCTATTAACCTAACCTAATTAACCTACTATCTATCTAACCTAACCTAACCTATCTAACCTACCTAACTTAACTTAATTACTTAACCTAATTTAATCTAATCTATTTTAATTATTTTAATTAATTTAATCTATTAACCTAACCTAACCTAGTCTAATCTACCTAACCTACCTAACTTAACCTAATTTACTTAACCCAATTTAATCTAACCTATTAACCTAACCTAACCTACCTAACCTACCTAACTTAATTTACTTAATCTAATTTAATCCAACTTATTAACCTAACCTAACCTAGCCTAATTCAAATCGAATTTTATTATTCTTCCATTATTTCCCCGGCGTGTTCGCGATAAATTCATCATTGATTTCCATCAAAATTTCGTTCGAATATAATCCTCTCCAATCTTCGAGCAACTACCTTGGTTCGCTTTTTTTTCGAACGCATCGAGGCAATGTAAGCGACAGGTGGATCTTCTGGTGTCTAAATGATCGGAATGAAGAAGGAAAGGAGAGAGAGAGAGAAAGAGAGAGACGGTTTAGAGGGTGACGCGGTTGCGGGGCACGTGATCGAGTCATCGGCGAGAAACGTTTTCCAAGCACGTATGGCACCAGCTTCCCCCCCCTTTTGCCCCTTCGACTCGATCCTCTCGGCGTATCAGCGGCAGTGGCGGTGTACGGTTTCAGGCCCGCGATAGAATCGGCTCGGTGGGACGCGTCGGGCAAAAATGAGCCGCGTCAGAGGCGCGAAGAGGGGGAAGGAGAGAGCCGTCCGAAGCATTTGCATCCCGTGACCGGACTCTCGATTTCTTTCTTTCTTTCTTTCTCTCTCCTTCTCCCAGTTTCGGATACGAACTCGATTCCCTCTCGAACTTTTGCCATAGATGGGTGGAAAGGAGGAAGGAAGGAATTTCATCGAGTTGTGTATATCGATCATAACAATATTATGCATTTTAAAATTTTTAAATTTCTCTTTTTAATTCCGTGAACGGATTATACGGAAATAGGTTTCAGAAAAGTATTTTAAACTTCGAAATTGTGAATATAACATCTGTTTTAATTTAAATCGTTACGAGTTATCGATAAGTTTTTTTTTGTTTTTCGTTTTATAAATTAAACTTCGTAGGAAGAGTAGAAATTTTCTACCGCCATATTTGATTTGTTGCAAAACTGTGTTAATGGCATATACGGGCTCGCCACCTAGTAGCGGATTCCTTAATCTAGCCATTCAAATTTATGGATTAATTTTAACTTATAGTTATGCAGTGCTTTTTTATAATTTCATCGTTATTGCATTAAATTATCGTTGTTTCACAGGCCTATATTTATTGGGTAAGATTGTCGAGGATAGCTATATCATTTTTTTTTTTTTAATAAACATTCCTTTGAGAATACCATTTGTATTCGTTTGTCGAATTCGAAACGCTTTCCAACTTTTTCGCTCGATTTTACTTAAATTCAAATACTTGTATATTTTTTATATATCGATCATTGTGTTTCTTTTTACATATTTAGTCGTATTTTTATGTTTTACATATACGTTTTTGACGGTACAATAAATTATAACGAAAAGTAGAGCGTCGAAAAATTTTCTAAAAATTAAATCTCCATATATAAGCTCAAAACTTACGGGAAAAGAATAATTTTGTTCAGTCAGCTTTCCTATCATTCGAACCGCTCTGCGACGCTTCGTTCGAAAAGGTTGAAAGGTTTGCGTAGGAAACTTCTTCCCCGTGCGTTTTATTCTGCGCCATTTGTTTATTCGGCCCCGAACTACGGAATAGCTAAGGAAATTTTTCACTCGCATCTTCGTACATGTATATTTCGCCCAATGTGAGGGAAAAAGAAGAAAGAAAATGAAAGAGAGAGAGAGAGAGAGAGAGCGAGCGAGAGAGAGAGGAGGAGGAGGAGAGAGAGAGAGAGAGAGAGAGAGAGAGAGAGAGAGAGAGAGAGAGAGAGAGAGAGAGAGAGAGAGAGAGAGAGAGAGAGAGAGAGAGAGTAGAGTAGTAGAGTAGTAGTAGTAGTAGTAGTAGTAGTAGTAGTA